GCAGGGGGAGGCGATCAGGAAGTACTACCACGACATGCATGTGATCCAGGACATGCTGCTGCCCATGCACAAGGTCGCCGACGCCCTGGAGTTCCTCCACCGCGAAATGGAGGTAGGTTTCCGTCTTTACTTCCTGCTGCCCTTGCTTGAATTGCTAGTACTACACACCGCGACGCATGTCATGCTGGCGTTTTGATTCAGGTATATCCGATCTGGCTTTGCCCACACCGCCTCTTCAAGCTCCCGGTGAAGACCATGGTATACCCAGAACCTGGATTCGAGCTGGATCCGAAACAGGGAGACACCAGCTTCGCGCAGATGTTTGCGGACATCGGCGTCTACTACGCCCCCGGGCCCGTGCTGAGAGGCGAGGAGTTCGACGGCGCCGAAGCCGTGCACAGGCTGGAGGAATGGCTGATCCAGAACCATGGTTTCCAACCGCAGTACTCGGTGTCGGAGCTCAGCGAGGACAACTTCTGGAGGATGTTCGATCGAGAGCTGTACGACCACTGCCGCAGGAAGTACAAGGCGATCGGGACGTTCATGGACGTCTACTACAAGTCCAAGAAGGGGAAGAAGACAGAGAAGGAGGTGCTGGAGGCGGAGGCAGCCATCGCAGAGACCGAGTACGCCGTAGCCGAGAAGGAGAACTAGAACCGAGCGAGCCGCCTCCGGCACGCCAATAAGATTGGATTTCACATGATGGATGGAACTCAAGCAGGGTAGTATCTGCCTGCCAAATCTTCATGTGCTTTTTTATGCTTTCGAGTAGTGTAAATCGTGTTGGAGCTCTCTTTTGCACTGGAGGTTATCTCGTGATGTCAAATCTTAGTTTACCATTTGAAGCAATTGAAGCTCCTGCAATCCACAATACTTAGGTTTGTAATGTTTGAAATCGCAAGACATTTTTAGAATGCTGCAGCAAAATTGCAAGACATTTTGCAAGTTGCAGAAATCTGAATGGAAATTGCATGACATTTTTGTTCTATTTTTCTTGAAAGATCACCAGATTCTTGGTTTCCTGATGAGTCGCCTCCTGCTTTTGTGTGCTCTGCCGGTAAGCTGGAGCAAACTGGAGCTCCTACTCCTTCCTGGTTTGACATGCACAGAGACCTCCCTCGTCTTCAATCTCACATGGTGACGACTACCCCTCGCATATCCTCTCCCTTTCGAGCTCTGCCTCGTGGGATACAGAGACCTCAGTATGTGTTCCTTCCTCCTCTCTCTCACTGATCTCCTCCTAACACCTCTGTGATGATCCAAGGACTCCTCTGATGAGGAATCATACTCGCTTGAACTGTATCCTTCTTCCACGTTTTCGAATCGACGACGATACGTACGTTTGGTGTTCTTCAGCTTGTGCCACAGAAAACAGGTAATCTCTTTGACTGCGGTCCAGTATGTCTTACATGCTGCCCATGACATCTTACAGATACTTCTGCATACACATTGGAGTATTCCCACTTTAAATAGCAGGTAGATGAAGAGCAAAGCTGCAAAGAACAAATGATCAAAGTCTAAGTTTTTTTTCTCTCACAACAAATATTATTATACATTTGTAAATTTGCAAGTGTATTAATATCTATATCAGTGGCTAATCTATTCAGGCTTCACAGAAATGGATGAAGGAGTCTTACTTATATAAGCCAGCACAGATACCATCAACAGCCTCAAAAGATTGGAGATGCACAAATGCTCAATAAAGCAGGTAATGTCCCATGTTCCTGAGCAAATACCCCTACAGAGACTCAAAACAAACGAGGACAAAAATTAGTATGATCACATCACAAATCCATTGCACCATTGCATGGGTCTGTTGTATGAACATAAAGCTGAGAGCTCTGGATTTATCTTCAAGGATTAAAGCATCAAAAGAAGAGGCAAAAGAAGATTTTTGGGTATGTTAAGACAGTAAAGAGTTGTTTGTAGCAGCAAAACAAGGCTGTTGATTCTACTTACTCGCATGAAGCACCAAATATGGTCTTAACTGGAGCAACAAAAGCATTCCCAAGTGCAGTTCCAACACCATTTGCAGCTTTACTGATAACAGATCCCATCACCGGAAGTAATCATCCATCTACTTCCTTATGTAGAACACCAAAACCTGATCCAGAACATTACTGATTTCTTATTCATGTTTTACAGGGATGCAGTAGTGAATTATGGTAAGAGGTCAACAGAAATTAATCTCTGAGAGACCAACACAGAAGCTTTGTCTGATGGCAGTGTACAAATACCTTCTCTGAGGAAGAAACTTATCAGAAAATTCATTAAAATAAAAGTAAAGATTACATAAGAAAAGAAAAGAAAAGAAAGAAATGATTTAAATTAGTACAAACAAACATGCAATGCGGAGTATGAGGAATTCTAATTGCTTTCTTCTTTCCTTTCGTGTACGGAGAGCTGTAATTGCTGCCATTAATAGATAGGGAAAAGGGAAGAAGCGTACATGCGACTTCAAATGCAGCGAGAAGAAATGGCTTCAAGAAAACAGAGAAACAGAGAGAGAGAGAGAGAAGAGAGGAACGGCGGAAGAAAGAAACGGTTCCCACTTCCCGCAAAGGGCGTTTGGAGAAGAGATCCAACGGTTGACATCCTCCTCTTTTGGAGAACGAAGGTGAGTAATAGACCGCTCTCGGCTCGGACAAAGAGACACGTGACTCGTTATAACCCGGGGCGAGTTACAGAGCGTGACGTGGCATCTTATATCTGAGAATGCGACGGCGTATGAGTGGTCCCCATCAGCTTCTTTAATCATATAATAGGTAGTCGGCAGGTACGCTACTGACGCGTAGGTGAACTATTTTCTTATTTGGGCTAGCCATGTGGAATGGAGACGAAAGAGGGCGCCCATTAGCGTAGGTGAACTATTTTCTTATTTGGGCTAGCCATGTGGAATGGAGACGAAAGAGGACGCCTTTAATGGGCGCCCATTAGGATGAGTGCCTCCACATCGAAACCCTAAGCCTCCTCGTCGTGCTCGTTCCAGTACGAGCCGATTCCCCCTGCTTCGTCGCGATCTCCCATGGCCCCGGCGAAGCTGGAGGGCTGCGACCGGCTGAAGGAGGAGGGGGCTAGGGTCTGCATCAACGACGCCCTCACCGACGACGAGCTCCGGGCGGTGCTCAGGCAGCTGGAGAAGGAGGAGGAACGGGACCTGTTCGGGCTCGTATGCAAGCGCTGGCTCCGCCTTCAGAGCACCGAACGCCGCCGCCTCCGGGCCCGGGCCGGCCCCGCCATGCTCCGCCGGATGGCTGACCGGTTCCCGGGACTCGTGGAGCTCGACCTCTCCCAGTCCGCCTCGAGATCGTTCTACCCTGGAGTTACCGACTCGGATCTCGCTGTCATCGCTGCTGGATTCCGGAATTTGCGCGTTCTCGATCTTCAGAACTGTAAAGGTGAGACATTTTGGCCTCACGTGAAGGTTATGGTCTGTGGTTTAATCGTTTGGTATAGACTTTTGTTTGGTTGTTGATCGTCTCTATTAAATTTGAGTAGTTAAGGTTAGATCTTTATCTTAAAGACACGACTTTGTTTCCCAGGATGGTTAGCCCTGAGTGTTTGTTAGGTTCCACCGGTGATGGCGGAAATGATATTAGATGAGTCTTTGCAATGAATTAATTGATTATTAGGTTATGCACTTGTAAAAGAAAATACAAGTACTGGTATTATTTAATCACTTGGTAGGCACAACTTCTTCTTTAACTATTTGAACTTTGCTTGGATGTAGTGCTTTCGCTGATCGGGCCTTGATGTTAGGTAATGGTTGTTGGTGATTAATTTAGTAGATATGTCATTTTTTTTTCCATTTAAATGATCTGCCCATATGGTAGTATGTCTTTTCAATGTTCTGGAACTCAATAGATGAAATTGTTTGGACAGAAAGGAGGTATCATTTGGTGTAAAAATGTCTTTCTTCTGACTTCGTATTATTGATTAGCAAAACATTTGGAAAAGATTGCTGAGATCGACTTGGGCATTCATCTCCTTCTGGTTAACTCAAGTGCACAATCTCATAGTTTATTACTGCTTATTTACTGTGAATGTATTTTCAACTACTCTTGTGTCATTTCACCAGATGTAATTTAAATGCAAATTTCATCATACTATTCACTTTTCTAGTGGGGTTTTCTTCTTTTAGTTTCTTCCTGGAACTTCATAATTCCACCGCAACAGTGGTTAAGATACTGTGTAGCTGATTTTAGATATCTGTGATTACTGTTGTTTCTTAATGGTGTCTTGTATATTTTGTATCCGTGATGAAACACTATGGTTATCTTCTTATTTACAGAGACATGCAAATTTTGGTAAGTCATATTTTATAATGAAATCTGTCACTATATGCAAGTTTGTCTTCTTTTTTTTTCACTTAATCCCGCTATCACCTTTCCCTCATCAGTAGAAAATAGGTTGTTTTGCCTTCAGACTTAAGTAGTCTAATATAGATTATCTCCTTTCTGTTCCAAAGGTGTTACTGATGTCGGGATGACTACTCTGGGAAATGGCCTCCCGTCCCTTCAGTCCCTTGATGTTTCCCAGTGTAAAAAAGTTACTGACAAAGGATTGGTGGCTGTCGCCTCGGGTTGTTCTTATTTAAAAAGGTTGCATGTAACTGGATCCAAATCTATAACAGATGAATTATTAAAATCTCTGTCTAAGAGCTGTCCTTGCCTAGAAGATCTAGGATTGGCAGGATGCAACAACATAACCGACATTGGTCTCTCAACTCTTGCTGATGGTTGTCGACATATTAAGTCTTTAGATGTTAGTAAATGCACTAAAATCAGTGATGTCGGAGTCTCAAGAGTTGCTGAGGTTGCACCATCATCATTGAAGGTTCTCAAGATGTTGGACTGTTTCAGAGTTGGTGATAAATCCATATTTTCATTGGCTCACTTCTGCCATAACCTTGAGACTGTCGTAGTTGGTGGATGCCGTGATGTTTCAGATGAATCCATAAAATCTCTGTCACTTGTTTGTTGCCACAGCTTAAGGAGTTTTAGGATGGACTGGTGTTTAAACATCACTGACTCGTCCTTGAAATGCATGCTGTCAAACTGTAGACATCTTGTGGCTCTTGACATCGGTTGCTGTGACAAGATTACAGATTCAGCTTTCCATTCGCTGGAAATGGGAGGATTTGAGTCCCAACTGAAAGTTCTAAAGATGAGTAACTGCTTGAAGATCACAATTTCTGGTGTGGGTTCCATATTGCAGTTCTGCAAGTATCTGGAGTACCTTGACCTGCGTTCGTGCCCTCATATTACAAGGCTGGGTTGCCAGCAAGCTGGTTTGCAGTTTCCTGAATGCTGTAGAACAAATTTTGATGGCAGCTTAGGTGAAAGTGAAGGTATGGTTGATTTCTTCCTCTGAAACATAGACCACGACAATGTGACAACACTTAACGACAGGTGCTTATGGGCAAGTTCTAGTGCGTGAACGCACCTTTCGTTTAAAGTCTTCACCAAAGTTATTGTGTCTAAAGTATGTCTGTATCTTGAGCTTAGGACTTGGAGGTGTCTCAATGCAGCTTTGTGTTCATATAGCCACACATATTTGGCTGTAAAGTCTCAAATGGTTTTCATTTAGAAACCAGAACTTGTAGATTGCTTCTGTAAATGGGGAGTTCCATGTAAAAGACTCTTGGTGATTGAATAAATTATTTTCTTCTGTATACCATTTTTCTTAGATCTAAATGACTCCTTGTGACACAATTTTATTATGACAATGAAATAAAACTGTTATGCAGTTGTATCATGGTAATGAGAAGATCTTTGATCCCAGACTGTCTCCCATTCATGTCTCGTTGCTCTCTGTAGGATTAAACTGTTCTTATTTTCTTACACTTGAAATTAAGAACCTGATAGAAAATGACTCCCTTGTTCATGGATTTTCCAGGCAAGTCTACACAGGTCCACATTAAAAGGCTCATCCTTCTTTCTCAACAGCATTCAAGTCGACTGAAATGAGAACGTGTTCATCCATCCACCAAAGTCTGCAGATATGTAGCCCGTTCACAGAGACTTCAACCGATGAACAAACCCTGGTATCAGTTTCGATAGGGTCAGGCAGTAGTTCTTTTAATTTGTTTGGAGAGTTTAATGGCGCTGGAGTTTCCCCGACCCTACGTAACGTTCTGCTGATAGCTATAATCATCGGCATGGAACCATCCCCAAGAGCCTGTGGAAACTGTCCAAGCTTCGTCATCTGGTCCTCCACGACAACAAGCTTGAAGGCGGCATCCCCACGGTACTGCACAGGCTGCCCTCTCTGCAGAACTTGTCTCTGTCACTGAACAGACTCACGGGGCAGTTGCCCAGAAGCTTAGAACCCTGCCATCTTTATCCTTGGCACGCGATGGCATAACAGGCTCTGTTCCGTCAGCTTACAGAGACCTTCATCGCCTGACCGTCCTTGATCTCGACCACAACTAGCTTGTCCGGCTTGGTCTCCTGACTTCGTCGGCCAATCTTGAAGCAGGACCATTCCCTTGAGCAGTTTGGCAAAGACGAGCCTCATGGACTCGAGTCGTGACAAGGTCGCCGGGCACATCCCATCCCAGATCGGCGAGCTGGTGTCTCTGAGCAATCTTTCTCTCAGCGACAACCTTCTCACTGGGACCATACCGGAGTCTATGGCCGACCTAGAGAGGCTTCAGTCTTTGGATCTTTCGAGTTACCAGCTTTCGAGTCCATTGCCGGGCAGCTTCAGGAAGGCGTTCCTACTCTGAAGACCATCAACCTGTCCTACAACAAGCTTAGCTTGGGGAATCTTTGTCAGTCAACCTCAAAGGTTAGAATATTCACAAATCCCTTGTTTTTATTTTCAATCGTATTTTAATTTTTTTTAATATTCATAACATTATCCTTTACAAATGCACATACATATCATTAACTTATCACTTAATTTCAATCATCATTCAACTCCTTCTATATAATTTCTTTTTATTTTTGTAGCATATTCTAACTCATCAGAGATGGTCGGACGTGACGCAGCATTACTGTTGCGTATGAAATAAGAGTATGATTAATAATTGAGAAATTATATTTAACAATATTGCTTTTTTCTTTTTTTTTTTCTTTTTGGCTATTGGCAACCTCCTTACTTCCTACAAACGCATAAAAAAATTATAATTTTACTATATACAATCTTATAATTATTAATCATACTTTTATTTCTCACAATTCCTTAATTATCATATTTTGAATCCAAATATTACATTTTCTAGAGTGATACAGACTTACCCCCCAAAAACAAATATATTTTTTATATTATTGTAGAAACGCCCATAATGTTAATTTTCGGGTTTGTAACCTGATGTCTTATAAATCTAAAAAATGCTAAATCGGTCTAGCAAAAGTAAAAATATATTTCTCACCTTCTCGTCTTTATTATCGAATCGTTCAATTTGAATATTTTTTTTATCACTTTACATAGATGAAAAATGATCTAACGATTAATAGTAGAAGAAAATTAATAATAGGAAGATGGAGAAGAAGGGAAATAAAAAATGATTGTATGAAAGGAGTTGGAAGAGCTTGTTAGAATTAAGTAATAACTTAAAAATATTTATGTTTATTTATGAATAAAATATTTTAAAAAATATTAAAAATTATTCAAATAATATCATAAATAGCAAAAGGATTGCCAATA